CCAGCAGGAGCTGCTCCTTCTCCTGCAGGAACGCGCGCAGCTCCCGGCACTCGGCCGCGATCTTCTGGCGCTCCTGCTCCGCCTGCTTCTGCGGGGAAAAACGGGGAAATCCGGTGAAAATCGGATAAAAATCGGATAAAAATCCGGTGAAAATCGGATAAAAATCGGATAAAAATCCGGTGAAAATCCGGTGAAAATCCGGTGGAAATCGGGTGAAAATCGGATAAAAATCGGATAAAAATCCGGTGAAAATCGGATAAAAATCGGATAAAAATCGGATAAAAATCCGGTGAAAATCGGGTGAAAATCGGATAAAAATGCGGTGGAAATCTGATAAAAATCGGATAAAAATCGGATAAAAATCGGATAAAAATCCAGTGGAAATCGGATAAAAATCGGATAAAAATGCAGTGAAAATCCGGTGAAAATCGGAAAAAAATCGGATAAAAATCCGGTGAAAATCCGGTGGGAATCGGATAAAAATCGGATAAAAATCGGATAAAAATCGGATAAAAATCGGATAAAAATCCGGTGAAAATCCGGTGAAAATTTGATAAAAATCGGATAAAAATCGGATAAGAATTGGGCTGAATTCTCCTAGATTTGTGTTCTGATTGGAAATCCAAAATTGGGCTGAATTCTCACAAAATTGGGCTGAATTCACCTAGATTTGGGTCCAGACTGGAAATCCAAAATTGGGCTGAATTCTCCTAGATTTGGGTCCAGANATGATTAAAAAAATCCCATCTCCCTGATCCCTCGGGACCGTGCGGCCTCGGCTCCGACCCGCTGGAATTCAATCCATAAATCCATGATCAGATCTGCTGGAATTCCATAAATCCCTGATCAGATCTGCTGGAATTCCATAAATCCCTGATCAGACCTGCTGGAATTCCATAAATCCCTGATCATGATCAGACCCCCTGGAATTCCATAAATCCCTGATCAGACCTGCTGGAATTCCATAAATCCCTGATCACGATCAGATCTGCTGGAATTCCATAAATCCCTGATCAGATCTCCTGGAATTCCATAAATCCCTGATCATGATCAGATCTCCTGGAATTCCATAAATCCGTGATTATGATCAGACCTGCTGGAATTCCATAAATCCCTGATCACGATCAGATCTCCTGGAATTCCATAAATCCCTGATCATGATCAGATCTCCTGGAATTCCATAAATCTGTGATCAGATCTCCTGGAATTCCATAAATCCCTGATCAGATCTCCTGGAATTCCATAAATCCCTGATCATGATCAGATCTGCTGGAATTCCATAAATCCCTGATCACGATCAGACCCCCTGGAATTCCATAAATCCGTGATCACGATCAGATCTGCTGGAATTCCATAAATCCGTGATCAGATCTGCTGGAATTCCATAAATCCCTGATCAGACCTGCTGGAATTCCATAAATCCCTGATCACGATCAGACCCCCTGGAATTCCATAAATCCGTGATCACGATCAGATCTGCTGGAATTCCATAAATCCCTGATCAGATCTGCTGGAATTCCATAAATCCCTGATCATGATCAGATCTGCTGGAATTCCATAAATCCCTGATCACGATCAGATCTGCTGGAATTCCATAAATCTGTGATAATGATCAGACCAGGGATGGATGGGGTCCATCTTTTAGGAGAAGGGATGGGGTCCTTTTCTTAGTGGGGATGCTGCACCCCAAAATAAAATACCAGGAATGGATGGGGTCCATTCCTTAGGAGAAGGGATGGGGTCCATTTCTTATTGGGGATGCTGCACCCCAAAATAAGACCAGGAATGGATGGGGTCCATTCCTTAGGAGAAGGGAATGGGGTCCATTTCTTAGGGGATGCTGCACCCCAAAATAAAAGACCAGGGATGGATGGGATCCATCTTTTAGGGGGGATGCTGCACCCCAAAATAAAAGACCAGGGATGTGGTCCATT